ACCTCAGGTCTGGTCCTGGGAGAAGTGGTGAACGTTGCAGGGGAGGGTTTCTTATGCTGCCCCTCTCCCACGTGCAGGCAGGTTGGTGTTGTTCTCTCAACCCCTGTGTTGAATGTCTGTTGTGGGCCCTGGCTGGTGCTAGAGACATAAGGCATGAGTCCTGCCCCCAGGGAGCTCACAGTCCAGGTCTGTGTGTCTGACTGGTGGGCTGGGACAGAGCGAGCAGTTACAGTCAGCGGATGAGCGGTGCTGTGATGGGGAAGTGCTGGCCCTAGAAAGGCAGAGAAGAGGCACCTCTTTTAGTCCTAGAGAGTCAGCAAGGGCTCCCCTAAAGGGGGTGGCAGTTGGTAAGGAAGACAGGTATAAGGATTTGCCTTTGTTTTGAGATGAAGTCTCAGGCTGGGTGAGGTGGCTCATGCCTGTAATGCCAGCACTTTGGAAGGCTGAGGTGGGCAGATCACGAGGTCAGGAGCTTGAGACCATCCTGGCTAATACGGTGAAACCCTGACTCTACTAAAAATACAAAAAATTAGCCAGGCTTAGTGGCATGTGCCTGTAGTCCCAGCTACTTGGGAGGCTGACGCAGGAGAATCGCTTGAACCTGGGAGGTTGTGGTGAGCCAACATTGTGCCACTGCACTCCAGCCTGGGTGACAGAGCAAGACTCTGTCTCAAAATAAAAAAAAGCAAAAAGAGATGAGTTATCTCTGTCACTCAGGCTGGAGTGCAGTGGCACAATCTCGACTCATTGCAACCTCTGCCTTCTGGGCTCAAGCGATTCTCCTGCCTCAGCCTCATGAGTAGCTGAGATTCCAGCCATGCACCATCATGCCCAGCTAATTTTTGTATTTTTGGTAGAGACGGGGTTTCACTATGTTGGCTAGGCTGGTCTTGAACTCCTGACCTCAGGTAATCCACCCACTTTGGCCTCCCAAAGTGCTGGGCTTACAGGAGTGAGCCACCATGTCCAGCCAGAGATAGGTGTAAGTAAGGGGTCGGAAGGGATATGGGAAAGGCTTTTGGGGTGGAGGGAACAGCATGCGCAAAGGCCAGGAGAGAGGAGGAGCATGACAGCTGCATCCCAGAGCAGGGGAGGAGAAGACCCCTCAGTGAAGTCCCTGCTAATAGCCCAGCTCTGTGATCAGGAGACTATCCGGACACAGGCTGTCCAGGTCATTTGCAAAGGGAGATGTGATTAGGATACCTAGTCCTTCATGGTGCTAGACATAGAAACAGGTTTGTTCACTTACAAATCAACAAGGGCCAAGAGGACTCCTGGTGACATTTTTTACTGAGGGAACAGGACCAGAATTTAGTAGTCTTCCACTAACCAAATTCATCAGCACAGAAAGTTATAGAATGTTGGTCTCTGAAATCTGCAGCGGCTTTCTGGGGTTGGTGGGGGCGATCCCCTGTGGATGTGGAGGGGGCTACTTACTTGATTCTTTCAAGAGCCCTCCTCCCGGCCTGTGAGTCTGTATCATGAGTCGGTTTAATTCATCCACATCAAGTGTTTGTTCATCGGTTCTGGGGCGGGCCAGGCCAGTGTGAGCACACCCAGGAGAGTTGGGAGATGACTGGGAGCACTGGGCACTGGAGGAGACAGGCGACACCAGGCTTCCTTCGTAGCTGTTGACCCTCTTCCAAGGGTCTGGCCGCCCTTCCTCCAGGGGTCGATCCAGGCTTTTCGAGGTTGAGGCTTAAACAATTTGGGGGCTTCTTTAAGAAAGAAAACAAAATTAAGTATGAATATATTAATTTTGTTTTCATTCTTAAAAATATATTAAATATATATTTAATATATTCTATATAATATATTATATACTATATATTCATATATTCTATATTATGTAAGAAATACTTAATATATAAAAACATATATTATTTATATAATATACATATTTATTATAGACATAATATATATTTTTATATATTAAATATATATTTCTTATATATATAAAGGGGATTTTTTATATAATAAATATGTATTTCTTATAAATATAAATATATATAATATATAAGAAAACAAAATTAAGTATGAATATATAGATGAAGATATCTATTTTATATATATATATATTTTATATATATATATATATATATATGTGTATGTATTTTTTTTTTTTTTTGAGGTGGAGTCTTGCTCTGTCACCCAGGCTGGAGTGCAGTAGTGCGATCTTGGCTCACTGCATCCTCTGCCTCCTGGGTTCCAGTGATTCTCCTGCCTCAGCCTCCAGGGTACCTGGGATTATAGGTGCACGCCACCATACCTGGCTAACAGTTGTATTTTTAGTAGAGATGGGATTTCACCATGTTGGCCAGGTTGGTCTCGAACTCCTGACCTCAAGTGATCTGCCTGCCTCAGCCTCCCAAAGTGTTGGGATTACAGGTGTGAGCCACTGCGCCCAGCTGAAAATATTTTTCTAGAATGAGAAAAGAAGTCACAACAAATGACTGAGTCCTGGGATTCAAGTCCCTTTCTAAGATCTCTTCAGTGGAGTTCCAGAGAGCTTCTAGGTGGCAGCCTGGCTCCCCTCCCCACCTGGAGCGCCCCCTATCCTTCCGGGCAGCTCCTGGCTGCCCCTGAGGCCCGGGACTCAGGTTGTGTTTGCCTCAGTGGTTTCCACACATGTTGCTCACCTGGCCTGCTCCTTACCTCGGGGGTTTCATGTGGATGTCACACCTCACTGCCCCTGGGTTCACTCTCTGTCCATGGTCACAGTGAGGGTGAGTGTGTGCTCTATGCCTGGGGGGCACACTGAGGGTCACTGGAGCCACCCCAGGGAGGGAGAACCAAGACAGAGAATTTGTTTCTTGCCTAAGATGTCATTGCTGGAATCAGAGTCCAGTCTGGAATCCAGGGGCTTCAGAGCTCTGCTTCTCTCTTTTTTTTTTTTTTTTTTTTTTTTTTTTTTTTTTTTTTTTTTTTTTTTTTGAGATGTAGTCTCGGTCTGTTGCCCAGGCTGGAGTGCAGTGGCACAATCTTAGGTCACTGCAATCTCTGTCTCCTGGGTTCAAGCAATTGTCCTGCCTCAGCCTCCTGAGTAGCTGGGACTGTAGGCGTGCGCCACCATACCCAGCTAATTTTTGTATTTTTAGTAGAGAGAGGGTTTCACCATGTTGTCCAGGCTAGTCTCAATCTCTTGACCTTGTGATCTGCCTGCCCTGGCCTCCCAAAATGCTGGGATTACAGGCGTGAGCCACTGTGCCCGGCCAGAGCCCTGGTTCTTAAGGGCTGTGCTATCAATACAGCTCTCATTGCTATCGATGCAGCCTGCCTGTGCTCCCTTATTGCAGGCAACACAGAAATGAGCAGGGCGTTACCTGCTGGGGCCCCTCTCCATCACTCAGCTCCCGAGGACAGGCTGTGCTGCCTCCTGTGTCCCTAGCACTTGGCACAGAGCATGGCTGCCCCACCTCGGGAATGTGCATTGCTTGGCCATCCAGTGGAGGCACAGTGTGAAGAACCCAGGAGCTGAAAGAGGATGCAGTGGGGCCTGATTGGAGGGGCTTGACGGCCATGGTGCTGAGTCTGGCCCTTATTCCAAGGACAGCAGGAGCCATGAGGGGTGTCCAGCAGGGCACGACCATTGGATCTGTGTTCTAGAAGCTCTGACTCAAGCTGTGACGTGAGGATGGCTTTTGGGGGAGCTGCGCACACACTGTCCCCCTGCAGAGCTGAGGGATACCAAAACCTGCCTTATCATGTCCCCGCCCTGGGTTCCCATAGTGACTCGCTGTCACTCACAAGCTGTGTGGCTTGGGGCCAGGGCTTACCTTCCCAGGCCTCTCTTTCCCCGCCTGTAACCTCTTGGGCATCTTCATCCCTGTCTCCCGGGGGAATCCATGCAGACACCGTTCCTGGTTTGGAAGAAGTGCGTCTCTGCTGCAGGGAGTTCAGGAGTTCCATTGACCTCTGGCTTGGGGCCAGCACCTGCCCCAGGGGGATCTTGTTCTCAGTCACAGTTGACTGGCCCTCCTTGCTCCTTCCTTGTTCCCTACTGGTCGTCTCAGGGAAGAGGAGAGAGTCCCAGGAAGAAGCTACCTCTGTGCAGGCATTTCAGCGGGCCTCGAGGAGGTGTAGCTAGCCTCCCACCAGCCCTCCCTGCGTGTTGCACACACCTGCCGATTCCTCTATATGGAATATGGGGAGGAGCTGCCTGGGAAAATTCATAGTGTCTTTGGGCGAGTGGCTGTTTGCAAGCCTGCATACAAATGGAGTCCTTGGCTCCCACTCTGTGCCCCCAGATGGTGAGGGCTAGAAGGGGGTAGTGTGAGGAGTGGGACTGGCTGTCATTCCAGGGAGAGGATGCCAGCCTGGGATTTCTGCCCAAGAGTCTGGGCTCAGTGAGGAAGCACACATGGGCTGCTTGGATCCCATTTTCCAAAAGTGAAGGTGGAGAAATCTGCTTGGGAGGAAGGCCACAGGCTTCCTGCTCTGCAAGGATTTCTGGGGAAGCGATGGAGAGCCTACCAAGTGCTAGACAAAACTACAGCTGTTACATGCACCTTTGAAACCCTATCAAGTCAGTACTATTGTTGTACCCATTTTATAGATGAGGAAGCTGAGGTCAAGAAAGGTAAAGTTTTGACCAGAGCGCACAGGGCTGGAAGTAGCCAGATCAGGATTCAAACCCAGCTCTGCCTGCTGCCAAGGCCTGGATGCTCCTTCTGCCCTTCTGCCTCCAGAAGAGCTACTAAGCAGAAGCAGATTGAGCCCAGAGGCCGTAAGCAAAACCAGGGGTTCCACCGCCAGCAACATGCCTGCGCCAAGCCTGCTGTGCACTTCCTGGCTGCAGCCACTGGGCAGGGGGGCCCAGTGCGCTCTCTTTCTGTGGTGTCCATGACCCCAGAGGACAGATCGGCCACTTGGGAGTGCCTGTGCTCGGGTGAGCCACAGAGGCAATGAGACCAAGGGGAAAAGTCTCCTGGCTCTGTCTCTCCCCCACGCAGGGAGCCGTGCGCTCCTTCGGAGAGTGGTTGCTATGCAGCCTTGTTTACTCAAGGAGAACTTTGCTGAGAGCTGGAGCACGCCAGCAGCGGGGCTCGCGGCCATCCAGCGCCTGCCCGGACAGGAGGCTGCGGCCCAGGACTTAGTGGCTTGGAGGGACCAGGGTGGGCCAGCCTGGGGTGGCCCCATCCTTGCCTCCCTGGGCCCATGAGCATCAACGTCTCTGCAGAGACCAAGGACCCTGGATTCCTCCAGTGACAGGGGTTTGGCCTCTGGACAGAGAGGTGAGAGGTGATAGATCCACTGAGCCGCCTGTTGTGGGGAGGTGAATGGGAGGGCTGATCAAGACCCCTGAAGTCCTTGGAGGGAGGGACAAGGACCCGAACTGGAGCAAGCACAAAGGTACAGTGAAAGAAAAGGCATCCTGCCGTGACATGGAGGCTGTGTGACGGTGGGGAGGTCCCTGACCTGCTCTGGGCCTTCATGTGGCGGCTCTAAGGGAGGAGGTGGGACTCACTGCTCTCTGAGCGCTGGGAGCCAAGGAAGGAGGGGCTGGCCTGGGCTGGCCCTTCCCTGAGTCATGGCCTCTGAGTGCAGAACCCTCACAGGACACCCTGGGGTGCCGCGAGCGATAGTGCCGGAAGGGGTGGGGGCATGCTGTGGGGATGGCACCGTGCTTGGGGGTGCTGGGGCACCCCACGAGAGCATAGGCCTTGGAGGGACTCTGCTCTGGGTTTGAATTCTAACACCCCTCTTTCTGGCTGTGTGGACTTTCGCTCTTTGCCTCGGTGAGCCTCAGGTCTCATGTGTGAGGAGGGGTTTAAGAAAAGCCTCTCATGGTGCCGCCTGCAAGCATGGGGACAGCCAGGAGGGCAGCAGCACGTTAGCCCATGTGCGGAAGGGAAGTTACCGCCGTTGATGCTGTTGTCATGGTGGAGACTGGCGTGTTTCTTTCTGGAGCACATTTCAGTGTCCTGAAACTAAGGTTTTCTAGTCACTTCTCCAGGGCAAGGGCCGGTGCTGGCGGAGGACCTCAGAGGCTGCCATGTCCTCAGGAGTGCAGGGAGGGTAGGGACAGGGTCCCTGCTCTGTCAGAGCATCACTGAGACTGGCCGCAGGGCATTGGTCCCTGGCCCCGGGAAGTGGTATAAGGGGCCCATATTCGCCTCTGTCCTGAGCCAGGCAGTTCCTCGCCCTTCGCACCAATGCCCTGCAGGAGATGGCCCTGCCACCTTCTAGCCACAGGCTGGCTGGCTCCCAGGACTGGCTCAGTTTCAGCCCATGGAGCCAGAGACTAGCAGATTTGAAGAAAGAGGGAACATAGCTGGGGCAAGGGATGGGGAGAAGTTCACCTGAGCTCTGGAGAGGTCTGCTCTGAGGGCAGCACCTCCTCCGCTGACCCCATTGCCCGCTCCGAGGCACCAGACTCTGCTCACCAGCACGGACGCTGGAAGTTTATTATTGCAGACGGAAGAATGCAGAAAATGCATGTGCAGTGTGAGGGATGATTATAAGGTGAATGTCCATGTAACTACTGCCCAGGTCAAGAAATAGTCACACTGGCTGCTTCCCAGAAACCACCCCCACGGGCCTGTCCTCATCACAGCTGCTTCCTTTCCCTTAGGGTTAACCATGCTCTGAATTTTTCCTTGCTTTTCTGTCAAGTTTTCCATCTATGTCTGCATTTCTATTTTAATTTAATTTCCCTTCATTTTTTGAGACAGGGTTTCACCCTGTCCCCCAGGTGGGAGTGCAGTGGCGTGATCTCGGCTCACTGCAACCTCTGCCTTCTAGGCTCAAGTGTTTCTTCTACCTCAGCTTCCCAAGTAGCTGGGTCTCCAGGTGTACACCACCATGCCCAGCTAACCCTTATTTATTTATTTTTTTTAGACAGAGTCTCACTCTCTTGCCCAGGCTGGAGTGCAGCGGTGTGATCTAGGCTCACTGCAACCTCTGCCTCCTGGGTTCAAGCAATTCTCTGCCTCAGCCTACCAAGTAGCTGGGATTACAGGTGCCCACCACCACTTCTGACTAATTTTTGTATTTTTAGTAGAGATGGTGTTTCACCATCTTGGCCAGGCTGATCTTGAATTCCTGACCTCGTGATCCACCTGCCTTGACCTCCCAAAGTGCTGGAATTATAAAAGACTACACAGAGTATGAGCCTACTTCTATAAAGTTCAAAGGAAGACAGAATTACATTGAGTGTTTAGAAATGCATACATGGGCCTGGCATGGTGGCTCACACCTGTAATTCCAGCACTTTGGGAGGCCAAGGCAGGAGGATCCCCTGAGCCTGGAATTTGAGACCTGGCTGAGCCTGGCCTGAACAGGGTAGGGTCATACTCTGTGTAGTCTTTTGGGTCTCACTTCTTTCATTAAACATTACACTGTGACATCGTCCATAGTGTTGAGTGGGGCGGTTGTTTGTTTCATTGCCCTGTAATATCCCATATTGTGGGCCATTGGGAAGGGACAGGGCTGGGGTCTGAAGTCTTCTGAGCTTCTTGCAGGGAGGTCTTTGCCAAGAGTCGTTTACTGGATTGTGACAGACATTCAGATGCTAGAGTCATGTCAATACATCTTTTCTGAGACTTTGGACAGATGCTTTCTTGCTTCCTAGTCCCTTCAGACCCTCCAAGTACATGTGTGTATTCACAGTCTACAGTTTGAAGATTCAAGCTCCAGTTACTGGGCAGGAATCCTCAACTGATCAGCCAAACCGTGCAGAAGGCATTCCTGGGGCGGTGGACCAAGCCATTTTTCATTCGAGACTCCAGGACTATGATCAAGTGCTAGGATAACGCTTACCTCAATGGCGGGGATCTCAGGGTGGGCAGAAGACTTCCAAGCCCCAGCCAATGGCTGTGTGATTTCAGGCAGGATTGATGCAGCAGCATCCAACCCCTCCAAAAACCTTAGTCCTTGGAATTACACTGCATTTTCTCTGACCAGGCACGGCCATGGCAAGGTGACCATTTTGGGGAGGCCTGGATGGGAAGCTGGAGAAGGAAGCTTTCCTCCCAGTCCAGTTGAATGCCTTGCCACCTGGCAGCCAGTGTGATGCCTACAGGGGTATGGGCCCTGGGATAGGCATTGCCTCCTGATGGCCTTATGTATGTGTTATAGACTGAATGCATGTGACCCCACAAATGCAAACGTTAAAGCCTAAACCCTCATGTGTTGGTATTAGGAGGTGGGGCCTTCGGGAGGTAACCAGATTTAGATGAGGTCATGAGCTCTCATAATGGGATTAGTGCCCTTAGACGAAGGGACCAGAGAGCTTGCTCTCTCTTGCTGCCGTATGAGGCCGCGTGAGGACAAAGGGAAGACAGCCACCTGCCATCCAGGAAGTGAGTCCTCACCAGGAACAGAATTAGCCGGCACGTTGACTTCCCGGCCTCCAGAACTAAATTTCTGTTTTTGTTTTTGCGATGGAGTTTTGCTCTTGTTGCCTAGGCTGGAGTGCAATGGCATGATCTTGGTTCACTGCAACCTCTGCCTCCTGAGTTTAAGCGATTCTCCTTCTTCAGCCTCCCGAATAGCTGGGATTACAGGCACGCACCACCATGCCTGGCTAATTTTGTATTTTTAGTAGAGATGGGTTTCTCCATTTTGATCAGGCTGGTCTTGAACTCCTGACCTCAGGTGATCTGCCTGCCTCAGCCTCCCAAAGTGCTGGGATTATAGGTGTGAGCCACTGCGCCCTGCTAAATTTTTGTTGTTGAGGCCACCTATTCTATGGTATTTTGTTCTAGCAGCCTGAGCAGGCTAAGACAGTAAGTCACACGGCCTCTGTGGGCCTCAGATTAACTCCCTATTTACAAGGAAGGAGACTAGCTGACCTCCAAGGTCCCTTCCAGCTTAAAATGTAGCGACAGGAGAAAGGCACAGGAAAGTCTGTTAAATTGCTAGCCCGAGTTCTGATTCATCTCTAATTCACGTTTGTACCACACGATACACAAAGGTGGGGGAAGGTTCAGAAGATTTTGAATTTTGTAAATTGATGTATAAGTTACACATCCTTTGCTAGGACTACAGTTCATTCATATGGTTCCTTTTGTGAGTTAGAAAAAGATGTCTCTTTCTCAAGACACTTTTCTTCTATTCATCAGAAAGAGACTGTATTGAATGTATAATTATGTACACTGATTGTCTAAAACAACATTGCCAGGACTTTGGAAAAGATGTAGTGTGAGGCCCACGCCTATAATCCCAGCACTTTGGGAGGCTGAGGTGGGTGGATCATTGAGGTCAGGAGTTCGAGGCAAGCCTGGCCAACAAGGCGAAACCCCATTTCTACTAGTAATAAAAATAATAATAATTAGCCGGGCGTGGTGGCGCGCACCTATAGTCCCAGCTTCTCAGGAGGTTGAGGCAGGAAAATTGCCTGAACCCAGGAGGTGGAGGTTGCAGTGAGCCAAGATCATGCCACTTCACTGTAGCCTGGCTGGCAGAGTGAAACTGTGTCTCAAAAAAAAAAAAAAAAAAAGATGTAGTGTGAGCGTGAGTGGTGTCTCCTTAATTAGGATGCCCTTGTGCAGTGCCCAACCTAGGCAAATAAACATGGCAGCCCTGCTTGCCACCTACCTAATTGTTTTTCAAAACAGCCTAAATAAAACTTTCTCTCACCCTAGGCTTTCCCATATCGTTTAGATCATTAATTGTCACATCAGAATTTCCTGGGGTTGGGAGGGGCTGTTTCAAATGCTATGGCCCACCCACCCCAACCCAAGACACCCCACTGAGCTGCTATTACAGATGGATGGCCGCATTTCCTCAGCTGTATTGGGCACAAAAAGTTGGGGAGTGCTGCTTTGAGTTTCTCACCACTTCCTCTGCCCCGTCCTGGGAGGTCATTAGATGCAGGTGTGAACTGCCTCCTGAACAGACTGGTCCGTTAAGAAAAGTTCTTCCCAGCAAGGTGGTGCCTGACCCCTGTTCTGAGTGTCCTGCCCCAGCCTGCCCACTGCTTCCTGCTCACCCTTGACAGCTCAGGAAATGGAAAGACTGCCCATTACACAAGGTGGCACCTCCGTGTTGCTGTCCGGCCTCAGCCAGGCCTCTGTAGCTTCTTACTCCAAAGACTTTTTTTTTTTTTGGAATGGAGTTTCGGTCTCGTTGCCCAGGCTGGAGTGCAATGGCAAGATCTCAGCTCACTGCACCCTCCATCTGCGGGTTCAAGTGATTCTCCTGCCTCAGCTTCCTGAGTAGCTGGGATAACAGGCATGCATCACCATGCCCGGCTAATTTTGTATTTTGAGTAGAGACGAGGTTTCTCCAT